CCAGCGTCCAGTCCTTGCGTTGGGCTTATGATGGGGTCGAAGCTCAAAACAAGAGCCTTGAGCATTAGAACGGGCTCTTGGACCAATCTTATAGTCTGACAATACAGGACTCTGGGGGAATACTGCTTGTCATTCCGACTCTGATGTAAGGGGCTTCGGGAAGCTCAGCTTGAGCGGGCTCGCGTTGGGGTTCGGATCTAGTGCTGTGGCGAGCTACAAGTGGGATTCGGAGTACTTGCGCCCATCAAATAGAAACCAATTAAATATCAAAAGCGCCTACAGCTAGTCATGCAGCTTCAAGTATACATATGTAGGATTTCTGTTCTTTGCTCTTCATATGCTCAAGTGAAGAGTGACCCCCGAAGTCTAACAGATTCCATAAGAATGTGATGTGCAATCTAATCCTTGGTTCCCAAATATCGCGTCTCCCTAGTTGTTACAGACACGTCAGTGGTGATTGAAATTCCAAGAGGCTAGAGTCTAATAGAGGGTTCAGGGTTTCAGGGTTGAGGGCGATTAGACCGGGGTGTTGGGGCGTATTCTAGTCTAGCTATGTTCAGAACCCCGAAAATTACACCAACAACTCTAAAACCTGAACCCTCAAAAGGAACTCAAAGCCCAAGGGATGGTCCTGATAATTCTTGGGCCCGCATCTGCAGGGGTTCGAGTTGATCTAAATTTGGGACCTTAAGGTCCCGGGTTTGAGGATTCTGGGGTTTAGGTTAGGTACGGCTGCCATACAGTAAGAGTCTATAATAGGGCTACTATGAAGGTCTTACTATATCTATATTATGAATATTATTCCAATATTACTGAGTGGGGGCCGTACCCAAGGTTTAGGGTTCTGGGGTTCTGGGCTTCGGGTTCTAGGGTCCTTTTTTTCTCTCCTACCTAGCAAGGACGAGGCCTGTAGAGTTTAGGGAGTATAGGGTTTAGGGGCTTTGGGGGGTTTCAAGGGTTCTAGGTTTTAGGTTTGGGTTTGGGGTGCCAAAGAACATCATCACCAATACTGCGCACAATATTCAGGGTGTAACTAGCAGCGTAACAATGTCTCCGAGGTCGTAGCCCTCTCCCTGCTGAGGCCGCGACGCCGGGGCCCAATCCGCCGTGAAGCACCTTGCTTCAGCATTACACTCTAGTCACTACAGGGGCCTTCAAAAATAGAGTGGCCACTTTAAGGTTGCTAAACGGGCTACTGTGGGGGCCGCAATGGCTACAACAAGGCATTCGGGTGAGTGATAGCATTAGTATAGCTATGTATATATATAATATGTATATATATATATATATATATATATATATACATGTATAGACTGTCAGCCCAGGCCCAAATTAGAGCCCAGACTCCGACAGAGGCATGGGACACCCCATGTCTCCAAGGAAGCCGTCTAGCTCTCTAGCTTCGGGGTCTTCAGGTTCAACGAAAACACAATGCACCAGTACGCAAGGTTCTAAGATGCTTGCAACATACCCTTGTCCTTTGATGGGTTTCAGCTCAAAGAAGGTACCCGACCCCTCTCACCCGGGACTAAACAAAATGCTAACTGCTTAAATCCCAAACCCTTGCGGAACTCTCACAAAGCAGCTTGGCATGGGGTCTTCGTGAAAGATTCAAGACAAGACGAAACCCTAGCCCCTTAATTCCCAAACCATCCCAAACCCCTAGGAAACCCCAACAAGACCCTTCTAATTAAGCTCATGCAAAATCCATGTAAAACCCATAAAGCCAAGCCAACACCCGCACAGGACCTGTACCCTAAACCCTCACAACCCTGAACTGCAGAACGCATACAGCCAGAACCCTCAACCAAAAACTGCCCGGAACTTCAAGGACATAAAGCCAGAACCCTGACAACCCTGAACCCCACAACCCTTAAAGCACTACTCCTTCGTATCCAATTAGTCGCGAAGTGTCTCGCTTTGTGATAGTCCGCATGACCGATTGCATGTAAAACCCTAGCAGATCCTTAACCCTAGACCCCACAACCCTAGTAGATCCGTCTTTGCTACTGGACTCAAGTCTAGCCAGTCTACGACCTACAATCATCTTCACCGAGGCCGACATGCAGCACCGATGCCCAAGCCGCATTTCGGAGGAGTCAAGCTGTGTGCTCATGACACCGCAAGAGGCTGCACACGAAGCAGCCAGGATTCCAACCCTAAACCCTAATAGATCCTAAACCCGAAACCCTCGTCCCGAAACCCTTATGGATCGTAAACCCTAAATCCCCATCCCTAAACCCTAAACCTTGATAGATCCTCAACCCTAAACCCTAATAGATCGTAAACTGTAAACCCTCATCCCTAAACCCCTAAACCCGCGAACCCCAAAAACACGCCGAGGAGCGAGGACCTTGTGCTCGACCCGTGCCGCTAGAGGCAACCTTGCCGGCCCCAGCATAGGGTTCGGGGGTTCAGGGGGCATAGGGGGTTCAAGAGTTTAGGCTTTAGGGTTTCGGCGCTAAAGCCTAGACTCTTGAACCCCCTATGCCCCCTGAACCCCGAACCTATTTAGGGGTTCTTCCCTCAGGGTTTCGGGTTCAGGGAATCAGTACAGTGTTGGTTCATATTTAGATTTTAACCCAGAGTCCTTTTCAGCATCAGTTTGAAACCCTAAATCCCTACAGTTCAGGGTATACATACTGTTGATGGTACAAAACCTGCATTACCTTAACGACCCTCAACTATGGGAATGACGGCGTATTCCTTAGTATGGGTAATGCAGGATTTATATCATCAACCGCAAGGCTTAATCCAGGGCGTTGGAGTCTCTGAGTCTATCCCTTTCACTGGAACTTTGTCAGGCTCCCTTCCATGCTATCTTCGAGTCCCAGGTTCGGATATCATAAGCCCCTACACCTTAAACCCTAAACCCTAACCAGAATATCTGGAACTTTAAGCTTTGGGCTCCAATGCCAAGCTCCGGGCAAAAACTCGCTGATTTGGCTCTGTTACGGCTCTGGTTACCACGGTTCAGGGTGTAGGGTTTAAGGGGACACAAGAAACACGTTCAGAAGGTACAGCGTGCTTCACCGATCCCCAAAACAAAATTGCCAAAAACAAGTTTTGCTCCAAACCCTTAACCATACACCCTAGAATCTCTAGGACCTTCAGCCCAAGCCTGCGTAGTTCGAACAAGCCAGCTCCCTGTCAAACTTTGAGTACGAAATCTCGCATTACAGCTGGCTCATCCCGCAGCTTTCAAATCTGAGTGGCTTCATAATCATACAATGGATTCAACAGAATACTGCTTCGTGGTGTTATCGCGTTTTTGTATGCTTGTACAGGCACTATCAGGGATATTGCTAATATCGCATAGTTCAGACCTGGAGATTGCGATGAAAGATTGAGGGCTTCGGTCAGCCTCTCGAGTCTCGGAATCCACCTCCGATTGTGCAGCAATCTTCCCTAAACAAAGCCAAAAAGCACACTAATTTGCCAAGGGAGAGTCAATCCCCATAGTAGTCCTTGTATAGCCCCTTATCTACTATTTGCTTAAGAACCACCAAAAAATAAAAAATATATTCCTTATGGTGGTAATATAGGGATTATTATTTGTATTTTTTGGGGGTTTCTTAAGCAAATAGTAGTTATCGTAGCCCCCATAGTCCCTTCTCCACTGTCCCTCTTGCTTGTCCAGTTTGCTAGGGAGACGAACCGTCAACCTTTTTGTAGGATAAAGGATACTTACTCGACAACTAAGCCACTCAGCCGAAAGGACCTGGAGCAAAACGAACACCAACCCTGAACCTTTACCTCAAACCAGAAATCCTGAGTTTAGAAATTCTGGCACGAACTGCACACAGTTCTTCCAATATCTCTTACTTAAACTGTTCTGATCAGCAAGATGCTCTGATCAGATCATTAAGACCTCCAGTTGGACAAAACCAATCGCCTTAATATCTAGAACTGGGTGTTGAGTATCGTGCAATTGTTTGCGGGGGTTACGAGGGATATTAATACTTGTGGATAAGAGTCGTTTTACACAGGCTTGACTGGAGCTCGCCGGCCAGGTTAAGACCCTGAAGTTTTTTGCAGGGCACTAGCTCACTAGCATACATCCCCTGAAGTTGGAACTCAAGAAACTTTTGTTTTGCTTCGGGGCTCCGTTGGATTTGACGAAAAACCCAATGACCCGACACGCAACATAATATCCTGAACTCTCAAGGTAAGCCCAATGGCCTAAATCTCTGAACCCCGCAAATCACAGTACACCCCAACACACATTCCCACATCAGCAAAATCGAGCAATGTCACGCCAGGGCACCATTCGAAAAGGCCTTGAAAGCTGTCGAATATTCTTCGGCCCTGGTCTACGCCCAGTGCTTCCATACCTCGGGGGATGTGTTTAGGTTTAGGGCTTGTGCGCAGGTGCATGCGTTGCCTTTGAGCTGTGAAGCTTGCATATAACCGATTCTGAATACCTTTTGATTGCTCTGATTACTTCTACTGCGTCTGCTCCTACTCCTGCAGCTGCTGCCACGACTACTACCACACCACTACTACGGCTACTGTGTGAGGAGCGTACAACGAAGCATAGGCACAACCATTGCGATGGCCCTACTGCTACCATAACCACTGTGCTGCTACCACGCTCGGACTAGTACCAGTGAGCTAATACAAGTACCACTACTAGTACTACTTTTAATGCTAGCAATAACAGAAAGAATAGCAGTAAACATAATAATACTACCAAGTCTCGTTGCGCGTACATACGGCTACTCCTGCTGCTGCCGCTGTTGACCTTATCACTGTGGAAATTTTCTTGTATACAGCTTGACGTGCAAGCCCTAAGCCCCATGGCTAGACACAGGGCCAAAGAAATCAGAGTGGTGGCAAACTCTTTTCCTGCCGGCGCTTCAGGATGGCTTCCAGCACGCCCCCTGTAAAAGCGTATTCTTGTCCGTATATAAGAAGCCTACTTGAAACGGTGGAGAGAACATGCTCTGTGCTCACCACAAGATTTCAGCACGGCTGTGCATACTGCGAAAAGCAGGATCCTAGCACATTCTGGCTCGTTTTGAAGGTGCTTGCCCTGTCAACTGTTCATATGCAACAAGAGTTCCCCAGGCATCTGCGGCGGCGTAGGACACAAACCCGGGCTCCTCGAGCATGTCCTCGCTGGTTTCCAGCCTGTACCAACCTTTCTTCTTGATGCTTTGTTTGCTCCAAGGCTCGCGTTGAGGATCACCTTCAGTCAAGATGGTCGCAAGACCCGGCATTGGATTCTTTGGGAGTCTCGTCATGTCCTTGAGATCTACCACTGGGCCAAGCACTTCTATGGAAGGGCGGCATCTGCTCAGCGACAAGATGTCGTCCTTCCCTTGGCAAACGATCTTCTGGATGCCTTCATCAGCCAAAAGCTCCCGCAGCTGCTGGGAATATTTTCCAGGAGCCGTGGGCACCTCGACCACCGCAATGGTTTGCGAAGCCACCTGCACCATCAAGGGTCCAAAGTACCCTTTGTGGCCGTCAGTACCTTCACAATCCAAGCCGATCGAGCCGCCGTTGGATGTAATCGACTGACGAAGCCAGTTGTAAATATCCGCACGCTCGATGTTGTCCGTGTTCTGGTCTACAACCAGCACGTCAACGCCCGCAACCTCCATCTCATTCTCGAGCTGTTTGGGCATCCTCGCAGAAACCGAAAAAAGACACATCAATGAAAAGCGAAACGTCCCCGGAAGCCTTGCTAGGGAATCTTGCAGTCCCATGTGGGCATGGTTCTTCTTGTTTCTTTCGGTGACGAGTGCAGCCCATTATGAAGTTGATGCATGTCTATCATGACGGCAGCGTGAAGCATCACCAGCGGCGCATCTTGCCCGTGCCTGGTTCTAGATATATTCTCCATACTGTTCTTGTCGGGTCGATGATCCCTGCCCGAAGCCAGGAAGCAAACATCTTTGGGCCCAGAAGTTCTGAAGTATTCTGTATTCTTCCTTGAATTAGAGCCCCAAGCCTACTGTCGTTTCCCTTAAAACCACACTGTGCTACCCAAGCTTCGTGATTCAACTCGGCGATCACTCGTCACGGACGCAGAGCGAGGACAAGGACACGGCAAAACCCTTCGGAGCCCGCTCTGCTCTTGAGACATGCCGGATGGCTTGTTTCTTGACCACCCTATCGCATGGCAAGTTTGAGGACTATGAAGACATACAGCGATCGGAATTGCCGCCGCTAATCTTCCGCCACCACGACTGTCACTACAGCCAATGTGGGAACCTTGCTATGAAATTCGCACGTGTGTACAAACTCGTGCACGCGAAAAACCGTCTGGCTCTGCGCATGTAGATTTTCGAGGTCTGCGCGCACTTACACTGGCAGAAGGTTGTTGGGGTTAACTTCCCCAAATATCTACCCAAAACACCCAAAACCCTCAGCCAGAAATCTTAAACCCTGAACTCTAAGACTCTAATTAAGCAGTCCCTACCGCTAGACCCCCTGAATCCTGGGGCCGCGAGTTGAAGGCAACCCCGAATGCTGAGTTCTCCGCAAGCTTTATCGAAGCCCAGGCTGCCTGCACCAGGGAGGACATTCCTAGAATGAAAACCTACAGGGTTTAGGGTCTTAGGGTTTCGGGTTTAGGGCGAATTTTGGGTTCGGGGCTTTGAGGTTCAGGGGTGCGCAAGAGGTTAAGGTTGTGCTACCCGCCCCTATCTCTCTTCTTCAATAACCGGGTCCAAAAAAGTTCAATCCGTTACGACGGACCAAATATGTAAGGCAAACAGATTTATCAAGTTCTCCCATCGGCTAGCTACGTTGTAGCACCTGTCGGCTCCCGTACACCCCGAGGGAAATCTCCACCACAGCCACGAAACTCAAACCCTCTACATTGGAGATCACTGTCCTAAACATCATAGTCCAAAACAGCGACCAAAGTACAAACAGCGACCCTGAGCCCTATAGCAAACTTATCATCGTGTTCATTTCGGATTACATGGAAGGACTCCCTTCAGTCTGTATTGGGGTCTTAAGGGTGTCCCCATATTGAAAAGGGGTTTAAAGACCCTCTCGCAACTCGGACGCATACAGACGAGGTCTCTCGGCCCCCAGTCGGATTAAGGCTCTGTGGATATGGATCAAGTCATTGAGAGTATCCCCACCCTCCGCCCCCGCAATAAACCGAACAACAGCCGGGCCTATCTTCGAAGTTCGCAGATTCTGCTGTCGGTCCTCATGGTTGCCCCGGTTCAGCCACACCTGGTTCGGGTAGATGATCCTTGGCCGCGATGGGCAAAGTAGGGGGCCCTTAAGGGATAGAATAGGGTTCCTGTCAAGGTTCCCATCGTAAGGGTGATTTAGGATCTTGGAAAGTGTCCTGAAGGCTTTAAGGAGGTTGTTGGGGGGTGCATGCATGACGACGATGGCATGACATGATCGACTTCCTCCGAGCCTGAAGAAGCTTGCAACCGATCATGGAAAACCGGCAATCACTGCTTGCCAATACCTGAACCCCAACCTTAAACTTACCGCGAAAGGGTTTAGCGCGGACTGCCTTGGGCTTGGCAGCTCGTGAGAGACATATAGGTCGAAATTCTAGATCCTGAACCCTCAACGCAGACGACCATAAGCGGCTTTACGATTTGTGCCCCGTCTCGATAACGGGGCGCAGGGGTTTAGAGGGTTATGTACGGCAACAGTACGCCGAAATGCCGGAAACCCCAAGCCATGAAACCCTGACCCCATCTAATAGCTTCTTCTGCACTCTGGCCCTTAAAACACAAGCCCGAAAACACAAACATGAACACCTGAAGTACCGAACAACCATGTAAAGGCACCCTGACAAGCACGCATTCAACACCCCTAAACCCTAAAACCCCCTTAAACCCTAAACCCCAAACCCTAAACCCTATACCGGCCATTCAACCCACTTCAATTTCCAGCCACGCTTCTTCAGGGACAAGATTAGAACCATCACCTGCCAGCGACAGCGCACTTCGACCCGTGCTTCACTAGGGTTTAGGGTTTAGGGTTTAGGGCTTTAGGGTTTTAGGGTTTAGGGTTTAGGGTTTAGGGTTTAGGGTTTAGGGTTTAGGGGTCCGGACAGCAAGTCCCCTGAACCCTTCTTGCTGCAGGCTTGCATGCAAGGACGCCTGGTAGTTAGTCGCTCTTCCGCCAGTTAGGACTGTGCTCCCTGAACCCTAAACCCAAAAGGCTTCAACCCAACTTTGAACCCTCAGACTTACCCTAACCCGAAGCCTTTGCTACACTTTAACTTTAACTTGAGCCTACTTGTCGGGTATCATGGGGAACTAAAGGCTAAAAAGGTTATATAGGGGTAATATAGGGACTATACTACCCAAAAAAGGTCAAAGGTCACCTACTCTTCTACTAGGTGAGAGTTTCAGAACTGACTTACTCGGTTTTAGGATAGCAGTTATGTAGGTTAAGAATTTGGAGAGTATATGAATTATTAGGTACTTGGACCCTTGGGGAAAGGAATCCGAGGTTGCTAGAACCCAGAAGTGCCAGGAAGCGAGCCCTCTGCTGGGCTTTTTGCTTTCTGGACTCTTCGTGCTTTCTTTTGATTCAGGACGACATGAACCAAAAAAGGGCTTATAGGGCCCAGATACCATTTCTGGAGATTCATGTAGCATATATAAGGGAACCCTGAGAGGGCGTAGTCTCAAACACCTTTACAGGGCTCCGTAGTAGAGATGAGGGCATCCGGCCCTTACATGTTCGCGTGGTCCTGAAGGTTGGTTACAGATAGCAGAAAGCGCCCGCCAAACGCCCTAACACCCTCTTGGCTACTGGACTCAAGTCTACCCCTAACACCCTAAACCCTGCACCACTCCTTCTCTTACCTCTGGTTAGTAGGGAATGAAGGAATGGGGTACACTTATAACTACTACTACTACTACTACTACTACTACTACTACTACTACTACTACTACTACTACCATTCTTCCTTTCCCTACTAACCAAAGGCAAAGTAAGTTTTTTACTGGACTCAAGTCTAGCCAGATCTCGTCCTGCAATTATTGTGCTTGAGGCCAACTCCGAGTGCTGTACTGTTCAACTACCCCAAGGGTCCAAAGGACCCAATAATTAGGTACTCGGTTTTAGGATAGTAGTTATGTAGGTTAGGATTTTGGAGAGTATATGATTATCGTGTACTTGGACCCTTGGGGCTGTGGCGACCCCTGCACCCTTGTTTCATCCAGGTCTATTGCGACTGCCGGGTAGCCCTGAAGAAAGGAAACTGAGGGCCAGGCAAATCTGCAGCACTACTGGCTGCAACACTCACCCAAACACACAAGACATAATGTCTCGCATGCGACCACTCTGAACCGTAAACCAACCTCTAAACCCTTAAAACCGAAATCCTAAACCCTTCAACCCTAAATCACAAGTCCCGGATACACGGTTGGCCCGAACACCGCCATCTTAACCAGCCTCTCTCTACCACCTACCTTACCCTTCCCTACCCCTTCCTTTGTCATTTTTTGCGTGGGTTTGATACGCAAGCGTATATAGGATCCTTCGGCCCCAAACTTAAAAATTGAGTCAAAGCCTAAAAACCCCGCCCCCAAGCCCACATACAATTAAAGGCTTGCTGCGGGGGCCTCCAGCTGATGCCGTCCACGATCCACCCAATCACCGTTGAACCTTCGTGCGTCCGATTTTGGGGTCTTCGCGCTCTGTTAAGATGAACCAACTCGACCGGTAATGATGCAGAAATCTGTATGAAGCTCTGATCCCCCATGGTCTCCCTTATGACACGTGTAGGTGCTCTCAGCTTTGATGATTTTTGGGGCGGCTCTGGGCTTCAAGGACTGTCGTGGGACCTGAGGGCTGGTATCGGAAAGATGTGGAGTTCAATCCATGATAGAGCTGAAAGACAATTTGGCATATATATATATATATATACTATTTACTACTAATAGTTTAATGCCTATCTATTGAATAAACCTAATTCTGGCGCTTTTTTCTCTAAGTTTACTAACAAAATAATTAGGCCTAAGGCTCGGTGGTACAGAACCTTCGCAAACCTCTGTAATTAGGCAATTACTTAATGAACTAGCTAAATGATTGACTAATTGCTTAATTAAGGACCGGAACCTACCGAACCCTCCTAAACATCCTCTAAAGTGCAGAAAAAGGTCGTAAGGGCATAGTAACCGCAAGTCTGAGAATTTCCATTGCCTTCAAAGCTACCACCGAGCAAGTTTTCATGTTTGAACAACTCGAGCTTGCTCAAGATCCAGCGTGCCAGGGGAAAGCCAAATGTAGCCAAACTGTGGCTGAGGTCGTTGCTACAGTCTCCCGGAAAATTGCCAAAAGTCGATCACAAGTGGTTGACAATCAGCAAATCGGATGCGCGGAAAAATGGAAAACTACTGTACCCAGCGCTGCACTGCCAATCTACAGCGTGCAAACATCGCCGCGGGCCCTTGCAGCAGCAAATATGTAGACAGGTTGCCACACCGAAGGAAACGACAAATCCCAGCCCTACAGTGCTGTTTAGGGCCTGCGCGAGGCCCCTACAAATCCGAAAGGCACAGCGGGCGGTGCATGTGATTTCCGCGACCACATGCAGCAGTAAGCCCTCGCGAGCAAGAAAGGAACTATTGTCAGTCTCCTGCACAAAGCCTTGCATAACCAAGCGAAGAAAGGCTCAAGTGTACAAAGCCCTGACTACTCAAGAAAACTCACAACTGTCAAAGGTTTGCAAAAATGCCGACATTGGTTGAGGCAGTCGGCAGCCTTAGCTCGCAAAGCCTGTGCAGCATGGACTAATTTGGGCTCGAGGTGAACTTTTTCGACAAGGCTCTGAACCTCTGGAAAGACGATTTAAGCCTAGCAGCACGTAGGCCATGGGCTCGTCGTCGTTCTCTTTCTCCTGATCGGGGACGAGATTCGGCAGGGCCCATGAAACTTCTCGAGTGACGTTCGTAACCCAATACTCTAAGATGTACTGTCGTTATTATACGCTTTCATAGCACGGAACAGTATGCTGCAAACGATACCCTCTTCGGGTCCCTGGGATGACCCATATGTTTGCATCCGGTGTCGCAAGGCTTCCGCATAGGCAAAAGCCCCTGATATCTAAGCCCGACCAAACTCACAAACCCGTTGTTGCTATAGTCGGGTGCGGGCGACGGAAGGCTTCGGAACAAACGCGTGCAAGCACGGGCGCCGCACGAAACTACAGCTTGTCGCAGATCGCTGATCCGAAATCCTGAAATAAGACATCTCCCCTATCCTCGCATGGACCTTCTTTAGCAAAACTAACGGAAGCCAGATTAGGGAAACAAGCAAACAACAACATCCCGAATCAGCCACAATCCTACATTCTTACGTGGAAAACGAACCCAGCCCTGACTGCTGCTGCAGCCTCCTCGTCATCATCGGGCCTGCTGTTTTGGGGGTTGAAGGCTTGGAAGGTTTGAAAGTAGCAGTATAGCAGTAGTAGTAGTAGTAGTAGTAGTAGTAGTAGTAGTAGTAGTAGTAGTAGTAGTAGTAGTAGTAGTAGTAGTAGTAGTGGTAGTGGTAGTAGTAGTAGTAGTAGTAGTAGTAGCAGCATAGTCGCTGCAGCAACAGTCACACCACTAGCAGCGGCAGTCGCAGTAGCAGTACGACTAATAAATCGCAACAGCCCGGACTCGAAAGTTTGGTTGAGCTAACGAGGGCGCCCATGAACCCCTTGCCCACTAGACTAAGTAAATCCCACCAGTCCAGGGTTGGTCGTCTGGGGATTCCGTTCAGCACCATGAAAACTTCGAGCTTCTCGTTCGACGTACGATCACACTCCTTTCTTGCGTGCAGAGTGGACTGCCCGGGTCATTGCAGCAGAAGATCGGGGAAATGAGTTGTTGAACTAGTAACTACGAGGGTTACGGTTAGGATTCAAGTGTGATTTTCTGTATCCAAAGTCATCGAGCGTGCTGGCAGCTGTAGTATCCGTGAACAGCGTTAAACCCTGACTAAGACAGTAAAACGATTCAGAAGCTGTCGGGACTCCCTACACTCTGCAACCCATGAATTCCTCGTTTCCATGTTGGGGATCTGGGAATCTGCCCGAATTCCACCAGCCTGGCCTCAGGGAGACAAGTAGCTTGATAATTAGGGTTCCAGTCTCTGCACCAACAACTTTACAAGCTGTCTAAAGGTTCCTCACACGAGGGAGAACTCGGATCTCAAAACGGTTGGGTGCCTGCCATAAAAGTGAAAAAGCAAAAGAAGATCTCGAAGCTGTCCGTGAATGTCTCCTCGAGCTGAAGGGCTGAAAAGTGCTTCGTGCTTTGCTGAGTGTGGCTCTTGCAACGGTCAGGGGGTCCTGCGCACCTAAAAGATGACCGGATACTTACGCACGCCACAATATTGATAATCTGAGTACTGCTATGGGCGCACGACAATACAAGCATACATGGATTATAGGCTGCACTATACCTTTGACAAAGCTGCATTTTAGGGCTTGATTAACATTCTTCAGTACTGAAACAGTGAACATCCCGGGGTAGGACTGACACATTCAAACCCTGAAGCCTGCAATCACCCTACAGTAGAAGCCCAAAAGTTGGAAACCCAATCGCATCAGTCCTTAAGAGTAATGTATAGCTATTTGGCCTTAACCCGGTTTCCAACTTTATTGGGTTTTACAGTAAATCTTAAACCCTTGCAAAACCCTAAACCCTAAATCTTAAACCCTGGCCCAGATCCTAAACCTCAAACTCTGCACTTACGTGATCTTAGGTTGCTTGAACTCCTTGAAGCCAAGGCAACTGTGCATGGCACCTGAAACGCCCTGAAACTCCTTACGCCGTGGGAAGGCCCGAGAGCCTGAAGTAGACACCTTCTGTTGATGATAGAAATCCTGCATGACCCATAATAAGGAAAATGCCATAATTCCCATATACTCCTTATTATGGGTAATGCAGGATTTATATCATCAACCGTTCGACCGAACCAGGCACAAAAAAAAAACCTGTTTACTCATAGTAGGGTTGTATAGACCACAGAAGCTAAGGGCCCCCTAAGATGCTCTACAAGAACTGTAAAGATTCCACGGTATGCCCTAATCCTTAAACCGTCGAAAACTGCCCTTAGACCTAAACCCTAAACCGTTGATGTCGAAGCTCCAAAGACTTTCGCCGGAGCAGTCACGTCGGAAACAATGGGCCTCAGAGTTGTCTAAGGCCCAGGAGGGTTTTACCATGTCGGTTCCTGGCTTGGCCTCCGAGTTTTTCCCTCCGAGTTTAATGACTAGGGTTTAATGTTAGGGATTAGAGCGTAGGGTTTAGAGTTTAAGTTTAGGGGTCCGTAATTTTGAATCTCCTGTGCTTTTTGGTGCTTGTTTAAGGCTTGGGGAGCTTAAGTTTTGTAATTAGGGCTCAAAGTGTAGGTTGACGGAGATCTGTCAGTCTTGCGTGCTACAGACGGGAGCTGGGGTGCTGCATGAGAGAGTTCAGGAAAGAAGACTCCGTCGGTCGTTTGCATGAAGCACTCATTGGTGCACGTGAAACATGAATGGAAACAAACAAGAACCTAGAATTTGTCAAGAACAACAGTCAACTCGTTCACCAGCTCAGTGAGCGCGGTGCGCCAAGATGCAATGACAGAAGCATCTTAATAAGGTCCTTATCATAATACGGCACCTAATATTTAGGGTACCCAAAAAGGGGCACTAATATTGACAACCACCCACATGGGCCTTCGCGGGCTGCCATGTGAAGTTGAGAGCTACCCAAGCCCAGACCCCCGGAAAAATCCAAGAAGTAGATCCCTTAATGGGGGTTCCTATAAATAAAGTACCCTTAGTAGAGTAGGGCCCCAAATTAGGGATCTACTTTCTAGATCCTGCCGGTCCTCTCCAGGAAGACGGGGGGGACCCAAACCGGAGTCTTTTGATAGCAACTTAAAAACAGCACCTTAAAAGATCTGTGTAATTGTTCCTTACAACAGTAACAGGGCCACGAAAAGGGCGTCCCTCAGAGCAACTTTGTTACTTGCTCAAGGCATTGGCTTCAAGAGTCTTAGCCCTAAACCCCAGCTTGGGATTTCCTTTCAGGACGTTTGGTCTGAAGTCAAGGCGAGCACACAATGGACAAAGCGGCCATGCGGGAAGTGTCGCAAACAAAAAAATTCAGATTTGTTGGTCAACGTTTGGGGTTTGGGGTCGAGGTATCACAACCAGATGCCAGAGAAAGCAATGCTACTCCCTAAACCCGAAACCCTAATCTCAACCACAAACCTGGCCTTGCTACCACTGCAGAGAGTGTGCGGTGCTAGAGGCCACCTTTCTGGTCCCAAAACCAAGCAATCCTGAAGTTAGAACCCTAGCAAAAATTAAAATTTTACTGTAGCTGTTTCTTAAGGATAATAATAACCAAAAATTAAAAAATATTTCTAAGTACCCCTAAGAAAGAGCCAGAGAAGCCCTGATTCCCACAACTCTAGAAGCCTTAGCCCTCAACGTCTAAATGGGGGTTTCCGTGAATAGGGTACCCTAACCTAGTGCCCTAAATAGTAGGATCCTTATTAATATAAGGACCCCAAAACAAGGTACCCCTAATTTTCGGAATCTCTCAAATATTCAAACCCACCACCCGAACAGCCTTCCTTTCAGCATGCCGGCCATAAGAACCCTAAACTCACACACCAGACCCTAAACCCTCAAACCCAGAGCCCCGTTTCCTGTTCGGAGTTTCCTGCACAGCATAACATAGGGGCCTTAACCATTACCTAGTTATACTATTTTGGAGGTTCCTTATTATCTTTATAGTGTAGTGCGCCCCCAAACCCTGTTCTCTTTGTTCAGGCCCCAAAAGACCTCACAGAGCTCTGCGGCTAAGTCGCTGTGCTTTCATAAGCTGGGAAGCTGCTTGGATCAGCGCATCAATCTGCCGGTTGAGGGTTTGGGAGTTTGGGGGTCTTGGGATTTCGGGTTTAGAGTTGTTCAGGTTCAAAATTTTAGGGTTAATGGAATTGAGGTTTCGGGCGATTCTGCCAAAGGCTTGGGGATCTAGAGCTGGAGGGTCGGGACTTTGGGGTTTTGGGGCTTTAGAGCTTTTGGGTTTCAGAGGGGTTTAGGATTTTGGGCAAATTTGGGGTTTAGGGATTATAGAGGTTTGGTTTAGGCTTTGGGGTTCATGGTTTAGAATCTGGGGAATCGGGGCAGGTGGGTTTTACAGACACTTGGGCGTCGGGCTTGGTTTTGGGGTCCCGGGTTCCGGGGCTTACGCTCTCAGAGCTCGGTCCTGGAAGGTAAGGCTGCCGGGTTTAGAGCTCGGAATTTAGGTTCAACCAAAGCTACGGTGTCTTTTTTTTTGAACGCCTTTTTCCCTCTTGGCTTTAAGGTTTAAGGTTACGGCTTGAATCTGCAAACTGTTGATGAATTTCTCTGGGGATTGAAGCTTGGAGCTTTTCAGTTCTGCACGGCGTAAGGATCAAGTTCGAGAAGCAAGAATTTACAGGCACCAAGCTACCTTCGGCTACTTTCAAAGATGCTGCGTGCCTGCAGGTCTTGGAGGCCAGGGAACTTTCCTCTTTCTAGCTAGCAAGTCTTTGTACAGTGAGTCCTAAACTTCATTCACACTTTACTCCCTAGAACCCTAAGCCCTTTAAGTGCTGAACATAGCTAAGAGCCCATATTGCAGATTCGACTGTTCGGCATGTGGTCTTTCAGATTATCCATCTGCGTGCATGCGCATCTTGTCCACTCTCCAAGCCGCAAGCTTCTGTTAAAACTCAGAAACCCTCGCAATCGCCGGAGAAAGCACAAAACTCTCAGCCCCTACCCCCTCAATTTACCTTTCCCACCAAAACTAGTTCGAGATATTTCAAGACTTCCTGACGTGCTGCGAAACCACCAGATGCACCCAAATCAAGCCCTAAATACCCTAAAGTCCCGAAGCCCTAACGACAAACAAACAAGTAGAAGCCCTGAACTGCGACACCCGCCGAGACCCAAAGCCCCACATCCTGAAATGCCAACGCACTATTATCCTCACTGCCTCCAAGAATAAAAGCCCTAGACACCCTACAAGGCTTTAGATCCCGGAAGCCAACCCAAAGCCTGCAACTCCTCCTAGAGTCCTAGAGTCCTAAAGCCCCACACAACCCCTGAAACCCCAACATAGAGGCAAGAACAAAAACCTTTATCATTCCTTAATCCTTCGAGATGGCATTGTAGTATAATATATCCTTTTACATATGAACGGCCACATGTAAAACACTGACCCTGAAGAACATCTCAGGGCCTTGTCTGCATAGCGCCCCTGCAAAGCGCAAATGCTCAGGACGCAGGCACCCCATCACAATCCCGAAAACAAGGAATGCACCCGAAATCCGATTCAAGTTCACTGTATAACCCAGGGTATATTCCGTATTTGGTGGATTTTGGGATCCCTGCAAACTCACCTTTCGGGGTTTTGGTTGGGATTTCTTGCTGCTGCCTTCTGCTATCCCTAAATTCCGGATGGTAAAGGGCTCTTGTAGGAAGGGGCCATCCGCATCCTTATTGCAGAATTTCTGCCCTTGCTTCCGGATGATTTTGAGGATCGTCACGTCATGAACTTCTGTGATATGACGGGATGTTGCAATTGCAATCCCTCCAGGACCCCAGGGCCAAGTGCAGGGGGGGGGGGGTTTTTGGAGTTGAGGCGATTGGGTTTCCCACGAGGTCCATGAGCCCACAAAGAATGGTACTTCTAAAGGTTTCGGGGTGCTTGAAGACGAATACCGAGGTACACGGCAACTTAGTATGCAGTTCGGTGGAGGAATGACGCGGATGCTCGGAAAACCCCACGATCCGAGTGACAGTAAAACAAAAAAAGACGTGTAGCTGTCTCTCAAACAGTTTCCAAGGCCCTAATCTAGGACAGCCCTTTTGACAAGGGGGGCTTACCCACCAGCCGTCTACATGACTGCATACTCATGCAACTGGACTATGCAATTAGTTTATTGATGCTTCTTCGCCGAAAAGTTCGGAGGTCTTGCATGGGCTGAACAGGTGTTGTCTGAGAGGATGCCGGAAAAGGGACTCGTGAGGTACTGCGTTGAAACATTCATCGTCCTGCCGAAAAAGAAGCAACATGAAATGGTAACCGGCTCTGTCCTACACCCTGAACAATAACCTCTGAAGCCCAAACCTCTGAAGCCCAAACCTTGAACCCTAGAGACAACGCCCCAAAGCCTACTAAACAACCGAACGCTTGAAGCTGTAACCGGGACGAGGCTCGACAGTGGCCACAGAGTATCCACGAGGCGCATCATCTCCCTCCAGTAACCAGGCTAGCCTGTGGGACAAGCTGACTGTGGCTTTCCGGTTTCCGGTTTTGGCCCGAACAACCTTGCCGAGTTAAGCTCTTGCTTAGATTCCAAAACCCAAACCCAAAACCCCCTTGTCTTGAGCAAGCACCGGTTACTGCCACCAAGCCGCATGCTGGGATCGCAGTCCATGCCTCACTTAGCAGATATATCAGCGGACATGCTACAGAAATTGTGGCATAGTTCCACCCCGGGTACATACAACCCCGTTTCAAGACTTGAAGTTGCGTCTCTCTGGTTGGCAAGAATTTGGATTAAGCATTACGGCCGGATTTCGCTCATGATAGGATTCAAAAGGGTATCTTTGCAATCCCTGCCTCAGGGCGCTTTCCAAAGTACTTGGGCATTGAAGCTTTCGAGAGAGGGGGCGGGGGGACGGTTGGGGGAGGTCTTGGGGACCAAAACCAAGGCCAAGGTCAGGTACTCCAGCCTGGAACACCCACCGTCAGTCTAACCTTCACATCCTCCCGGACTCTCTTTCTATGAGCAGGAGGCAGCATAAGCCTTAAAAATTCTAATCTCAAGCAGCCTAATGCGAAAATTAAGATGTCCGATACAGTAGCCTGAATCAACAATGCATTAATCGAATGCCGCACCCATACCCCAGACCCTTCAACTGCCAACACCCCCAACATCCCAAAGCGTAGCTGATACCCCAGCCAGCATCCAGAATCCCGGAGCAACCGCAAACTGAGACTCCAAAGTCCTGAACTCCCACAGCGACATGCTAGTTTCTGCCCTTGACCACAGTCAAACCAAAAGCCTATCAACCATCCAGAATTGTCCCAAACAACCCAGTTTGCACTGAATCCTAAACACTTCATCCCAAAATGACCCCAAACAACCCTAATTCGACTCTTTTGTTGATCCTGTTCCGCTGAGAAGTACGTCCTAAACTCTAAACCCCTAAATCGACCCTAAGCCCCCAAGGCCACCAAGCCCTGTAAACCCCAACAGTTCAGGCCGGCGCTGGGCGCGGAGTTGAGATCTTTGAAGCGGGACCTTGCGCAGCATAGGGCTCGTAATCATTACAACAGGGATTTGGGGGTCGAAACCCTCAACCCCAAACCCTAAACGTAACAGAGGGTTCGTAATCTTTAGCACAGGTTTTAAGGTACCTCAAACTACCAGAACCTACTTTTTCTGGGTTCTGATTATGAACCCTGATATGGAACGGTAGTAGGTTTTGCTTGGTTGAGGTATACTATGCTACAACTACAACGGGAACCCTGATCAGCACCTGGCATAAGGCTTGATTCATGTAGATCCCGGGTGTAAGGGTTCAATTGGGGGCATGTAGACATTTGGTTAATAAACCCACTTTTCTTGAGATCCTGGAAGTTCGTATCCCAGTCTATACTGAACTTAGACCCCTAGCAAAACGTGTTTGGCTGTTTCTTGGGGATTATAGGAACCACTCCAGAGTAGTTGAGACAGTTACGATCCCTTTTTTAAGGTAGAGGAATTTATCAATCAGGTCTCGTCATCAAATAATCAGACCACACATCCTCTTACCAACTCTCCGACAGACCACTTTTTCCTGTTACCAAACCCCGAAGATTGGCCTCTGTCCACCATAAGTGCTTTGGTTCCTTCGGACTACAACAGCCCCTAAAACCCTGATAGCCTACTACTGCGAAATGTTTCGGGCTTTTGGATTGAACTGCTGGCTCTTCCGGCCGATGCTGCCGTGAAGGGTTTCCTGATGTGACCCTAAACCAACCCTGAACCCTGAGCCCTTGTTGCAGCAGGCCTCGTTGTCCAGCAGCCCGGTTACAGCATGAACCCCTCTTTCCCCCTGAACCCTGAGCCCTAAACCCCAGACCCTGACCCCTGAACCTAAACCCTAAACCCTAAACCCAAAATTCTGGTCTGCGAGGCCCGGACAAGCAGGGTCGAGGGCCAAAGGTCCGACAGTCCGCCAGCTCGTCTTTGGCCTGGCTAGGGTTTAGGGTTTAGGGTTTAGGGTTTAGGCGACGCTAAGAAGCCAACTACTTACCTTTGGTTAGTAGGGAATGGAAGAGTGGTGGTAACAGCAATCATATTTGTACACCATTCCTCCATTCCCTACTAACCGAAGGTAAGACTAAAGCCGTAGCAAAGCTTAACTAGAGCCTCAAATACGAGACCCAATTTTAATCTTAATTTTATGGTTATCCGGACAAAGATCAACCACCGTTTTACTGTAAAGCGATCGCAAACCACGATGTCTGTAGTGTTTGTCTTGCTGCAGGCCTGGAGCCGGTGCTCAAGGGCAGGTAAGGTTCCTCTCGCTGGATGGCATCTCTGTGTACAAGGCTCTCCATAGAAGCTTCCGCGTGTTGGGAATGACATAAATGTTATCATGGGTCTGCGGTTTACGCTTCAGGGGTCTAGGGTTCGGGGTTGGTATAGTATACTCCAGAACCCATAGTATAAGTATAGGGGCCTGAATAATTAGAATAGAGTTTCGGGGTCCATTACAGTATAAGTTTACTCTAAGTTTAATACTGCAACACCCAAAATAGCAAAGGCCCCCAAAACAAATGCACAAACAGCAAAGCAGCCGGGCCTCGTGTTCCAGCACTCTTGCCCACTCGTCGAGGACTGCTCCTTGCGGGGTTTCGATTTAGCCAGGAGGAGGAGCCCGAGGGTTTGGGAACTTATTCCGGTAGAATCGGCAGCATACAGGGCCTACCAGTTTGCAACAGGGGTTGGGCTGCGCACAGGAAATACTGTAGCCTGCCATTGCAACCGCCCCGGCCCTGCAAATTGATTCTGTGCCGAACGTAGCATACAATTCCGAGGGCGGGCGAGGCGTGAAAACACAAACACGCATCAGGCACCTGAAGCACGTGTAAAATCCGAATACGCAATATTTTCCAGTCTTAACATGCACGCTCGGTGGGCTACATCATAGCCCAAAACGGTCCCACTTGTGCACACTATGCCCCGGCACAGAAACCTCCTTCGTCGTATTCGGCATCCCTCCAAAACCAATGCAGCCTCATGTTCGCCTGAGACCCCCAGAGGGCCTTGATCTAAGGTTCTTAGTTCAAGATTGGTAGGTCGAGAAGATAAGGCTTAGGACTTCTCGGGTTTATGCTTTAAGGTTCAGGACCTCTGTAAAAACTCTGTTTGCGGAATAAAATCCCAGCTCCACTATCCAAAACACCCGTCTTCCCTGCCGTTCCCACATCATAGGATCTCCAGTGGGCCCCGTCACCAAGGCACCCTTACAACCCTATGATGTGAAAGCCCGAATGCTTACTAACATCACTTTCCGCTCGTCATTATATGTGTACTATACTTACTATACTGTATCTCAAAAACCTATTCCATGTATTCACCTATATCATATCCGCCCCTGAACCCCCCAAAACTCCCGAAGATGACCCCTATAGGGTTCCTGAAAGGGCCCTATAAGGGCAGAAGGCCTGGGCCCTGGGGTTGTGGGGTCTACTTGCAGTGGCAGCGGACTTAGTAAGGGTCCTTAAAAGGCTCCTTATAGGGATCTATAGGGTTCCGGTTTAGGGTGTACTGGAGGGGCAGGGGACGTAGTAAGCCGTTTATAAGTAGGGTTATAATTGGGGTAACTCCATGTAGGGTACTTACACCTCTCTACTTATAACCTACTTACTAAGTCCCCTGCCCCTCCAAGTAGGGGTTTAGGGATTCACACAGGCTTGTGCAAAACAAAGTGGTTTAGGGTTTAGGGGCTTAAGGGGTTTAGGGCTTCAGTGAAACTTTCTTGCTTAGATCTTGTAGGGCTGCCCGGCAGTTCGAAGAGGACTGGATGCAAAAGGGTTTTAGGGTTCAGGGGTTAGGGTCTGAGGGGCCCTTTTAAGTAGGCAACCCAGGGCCCCATTCCTTCGGCGTGGGACAAGACGAGCTCCGAGTCGGAGGCCTTCACCCGCAGCTCCTGGGGAACAGGCGAGGGAATCAAGGTTTGAAGGGCCCCTAAACCCCTAAACCCTAAAACCCTAAACCCTAAACCCTAAACCCCAAAACCCTCTACCCCAAAACCCTAAACCCTAAAGGGCCTCCTTAAAGGGTTCCTTAAAGGATTCCTTAAAGGGATCTCCAGGTTCACGTAGGGGTTGAAGGCTTCCTTAAAGGGTGCCTTAAAGGGATTCCTTAAAGGGATCTGTATTTCTAGGTTTAGGGGTTTCCTTAAAGGGTTCCTTAAAGGGATTCCTTAAAGGGATCTCTATTTCTAGGTTTAAGGGTTTCGGGATTAGGGGTCTAGGGTTTTGGGCTGTAGGGTTTTATGGGTAATGGGGTAGCAGGGGTAGGAGATCAAAGAAGCACCTGAACATGAATGCTTTTTGCTCGTTTGTGTGCGAGTGTGTGTCTCTTGGCTTATGTGGTAAAGGGATTAGGGAGGTATATAATTTCACTACGGCGTAGTAGGTTTCAATACTTTATGTTTGACCTTTCGGGTCAGTGATAGGCCATGTAAGGCTCGAGAGGCACCGTGACGTTGTTTCCGGCTTCGCTGAAGGAGAAGCTCGTAGCACCCGGCATCCTTCATGCAACCGCATACTACCTGACTCACCGGCCAGGGCGCAGAAAAACCCAAAGCCCTTGATGAAGGAATCTCTTTTAGAGCGTAAGGGCTCCCCAATATTGTTTACAGCAGCTTCTTTATTGAAACACTCTGGGATTTTCAAGGACCGGCCATCTCGAATCCTCCCCCTTCTTCAATAACCGGGCCCCAAATCAAAAAGTTTGAACTTTCTAAGATTTACCAAATATGAAAAGCCAAAAAAGTTTAAAGTTCTCCCGTTGAAATTGGCTTTGAAAGAATCCCAAAAGCCACAGAGTCCCTGCGATTGTTCTTCCGTCTCGCTCCCTCAATTAAGGATTATGATTTCAGGTACATTACTTACTTAAGGGGTATTGGGATTTCTTTTGCCCCTGAAATCTTACCCCTAAACCCTAAAAAAAGCCTTAAACCCTAAACCCAATGACCTTGATATCAGTTATAGACCCTAAACCTCTAAACCCTTAACCTCTAAACCCTAAACCTAATGACCTTGATATCACTATTACTTAAAGGGTATTACAATCCAATAAACCCTAAACCCTATAGATCCCTTTAAAGGAACCCTTAAAGGAACCCTAGGCATACGATATTCTTTAATTAAGGGGGTCTTGGGATCTCCTGCTCTTTGGAGATGCTGGTGTTGGCTCCGAGCCTGCCCAGGATGATCTCAAGCGTCTTAGATTTTTTGGGTTTAGGGTTTAGGGGCTTAAGGGTTTAGGGGCTGAGGGGTTTAGGGGTTAGGGGCTTAAGGGTTGAGGATTTAGGGGCTTAAGGGTTTAGGGGTTTGAGGGTTTTAGGGGCTTAGGGGTTTAGGGGTTTCAGCACTCACACTCGGGTTTAGGGGCTTAGGGGTTTTGGGGGGTATAGGGGTTTAGGGTTTAGGGGCTTAGGGGTTTAGGGGTTTAGGGGTTTCGGGTTTTAGGGGTTTAGGGATGTGTAGGGTTTATATAGGGGGTTCAGGGTTCTTTCTTTTTGTTGCGGGCCCTTCTCCATCAGCTGAGCCTGAGTAAGCCGCTAGAATTCCTATTCAGGAGGAGCACGGTTCAGGGTTTGAGGGTTTTTCCCTCCTACCTAGCGAGGACGAAGCCCGCATTGCAGGGAATCTCGGTTTGAGGGTTTAGAGTTTAGGATTTGCTTCGTAATGCTGCTGTTCCCCACTGCTGGAATAAAGTTGGAGCTCGCTGTCCTGATAGGAAAGACCCTTACCTAAGGTACTCTGCAGGAATGGCTGCATTCCCAACCCCGAAGCCCTGTAACAACCCGCTAGATGCTCCTCTAAACTACCTTTACCTTTCGATGTTTAAAACACCACAAGAGTCTTGTATGAATTCGCAGCAAAATCCAATGACACGCGCTTCAAACCCATGTGGGTTGCGAAACGCACCTGACAGCTCCGATGACTTCTGCACCCCTGCTGGCGTCCTGGAGCACCCGGGCTCTTAAAGGCTCCGGCTTTTGAATCAGGGTTTGGTCTCTTTTCCCCACCCACCTGGCTGCCCAGGTCGCACTATACTTCTTGGGTTTAGGGTTAGTTTGGGTTTCTGGGGGGCCTGGGGTCTTTGTGAAAGGCGGCCTCCAAAGGTTTGAGCATCCTGGCAAGGACGTATCCCAAGTAGGAGGCATTATATAATATGTGGGATCGTTGCTCCTACTTGGTCCACCTGCCTTCATTCCAATCTGCGGGCAGCTTGGTCGAAAAAAAGCACGAAGCAACCAAGGTTGCAACTCCAGAGGTGCGGTTCCTAAGGAATGGAAATCCCTTCACTGATCTTGCAATCCCGACCTAAACCACCACAAAGTTCAGGCCTTTAGGGTCGAGGAGTAGGGTCGAGGGCTTTGGATTCCGATGATTTCAGGCCCGAGCAACCGAATGGGTTCGCAGAAAAGCCGTTCAGGCTGTGTGCCGAGCTTTCTCTGCAAGTTATTCCGGCAAGGTAGAGAGCTGCATCGGAGTGGATGGAGGTGCTGGACCGAATGCACAGCTGCAGAAGGCTGGACAGCGAGGTGCTGAAATACGAACCATTCGACATGTGTCAGAATTACCAGAGCAAGATCGACAGCGGCAGTGACAGTAACGATAGCCCGCCCTTATCATCACCAAAATTTCAATCATCACCGCCATGGGAAGTGCAGTGTACCGACACCGGTCCTTGTGCCATTGCAACATGCCTGGCCGCAGAAGGAATCGCTTAGGCGAGAACACGAAGCCCCTGAACCTGCACTACAGTGGTTATAGCTACCATATGAACAATGCTCTACAGTAGGTCTCCCGTGCAAGCTTTTCCATCCACGGAAGAGACGCCTCAACAACTTGGAAAAAGAAAGCGAGCCATCCGAATACTTTTAAAGGCATATACAAAGTTGCTGAAGGGCTCTGTTGAGGACCCAAAACGGTTCGGGATTTGGGGTCTCGGGGGTTAATTAAAGTGGTAAGGAATTAGGTGAGTCACCCTAGCGTGGCAGCCTTACTATGCATAGAAGATGCCCACATCACTGTAAGCTTCTGGTCAGCTCTTCAGGAGAGTACCTCAAAATTGCGAGACTTTTACAAAGGGCCATATTTTTACGTACATTGTCAAGCTCTGTTGTGTGCCTTCTCAATGCAGTAGAAACCCAAAACGTTGGAAACCCAACAGCCTCAATCTTGAAGAGTCATGCATAGGGAATCCCAGCACTAATTGTCCTTAATCCGGGTTCCAACTTTGTCGGGGTTTACTCTAGTTTGTAAGCTAGATGTACAGTTTCGGTCCGATTTGAAAGCCAACTGCAGATACCCAGAAGTCTTTCTGCAGATGGGACTCCTCGATGCCAGGTCAGTTGAAATCTCTCTCGCCTAAATCCTGAAACGAAATCTTGAACCCCTGAGTAGGGTAAAAAAACAGGCCCAAGCTCAAGTTGCTGGCTGCAGGATGCAAAACAACCAACCAGACTAGACGTTTAACCATGGCAGATCATATACCAACACATAAACGGTCAAAGGGTGTATGTGGCGACGGGTTTTGGAATCACTTCTCCCAGCCTCGGGAAAGCACAAAGTATCGCCTGAGTCATGGTCGGGCTAAGGGTTCCAGGGTGTCCAGGGTTTGTCCCAAATCCTTCCAAAGTCCAGGGTGACCGGGTGACCGCTGATGGAACGCGTATCAGGGACCATGGTGAATGGGTCTCTGTAGACGATGTTTCGGGCTTCGGGTTTAGGGGGTGTGTTGTTGGTAGCAAGGTGATGAAGTTAAAGGTCAAGAAACCTGATCTTCGGCTTTGGCCGTACATTAGGATTTAAGCCGAAGCCCCGCGCCCGGGAAAATCTGTAATTCAAGGTCCCAACCCTCAAAGTCTTAGCCCACTGATTTCTTGCTGACTTTTCTGGAAGCTGCATGATAAGAGTGTGAATGGTAGCTGAAGCATCAGTTGGCACCAGCACTTGCGCTGGGTTTTGTGCTTGTTAAGCAACTTGGCAGCGAAGTGGCTACGGTTCGCCGCAGTAGGGTGGGGAGAGGGAGCAGTAGAAGGTGGCCGCTGATGTTGTTGCTCTGGTCTTCGCAGTAATCTTCCGGCTTTTGTTTTATCCCCTGATCCTCTTTCTAATCCCTGAACCCTAATCCCCAATCCCTGCTGCCAAAATCTCTACAGAGTGGACAATGGGGCCAACGATACAAAACCCTGAAACAACCAAAAGTCCCCTCTTCCATAGCCACGACTGCAAGTACTGAAGGTCGTGCCTCTATGTCGCTTGGCCAATATATGGTCGCATAAAAGGCGGGAGCTGCCATGATACCCTCTACCGTTAGTCTATAAGGCTGCTATTACTCGCAAGAGTCAGGAACACTTCCGCCCAGGGGAACATAAAGGCTCACCTTTGGCTGATGGGAGGCCAAAAGGGGGGTAAACCCGCATAGGCTAAAACCCGTTTTGGCCTCCTATGATTGGCATTCATTATAAGGCCCGCAGTACGGTCCTCGACGAGTGCAGTTCGGCAGCTTTACTGACTCTAACTGCAGCCGAGTGTCTCTTGCAACTGCGAGGGGGCAGAGCCGTTGGGGTGATGCTTGACAAGAAAGCCAGACCTTGGTGTGTTTCGGATTTCGGGACTGAGACTGAGGGTTGACTGCTTTAGGATATGGGGGTTTCCGAAAAAAGGGGACCCCAATATAGTACCCTAAATAGTAGGCCCCTTATAAGGACCCCAAAATAATGTACCCCTATTTTCGGAAACTCCCAGATGCAGGTAAGCCAACCCTCGGACTGTCTTTGACACCTGGGCAGGATGGACACCCCAGGCCAAGGCCCCAAACCCTGAATTTCCCAAGCCTCAACCCCCCTAAGCCTAAAGCATCCTACAGTCTTACCTGGTAATGCAACAGCAAAAAAACTTACTTCAGGGCTTAAGGCATTGGAGAGTGTCCCGGGTTTAGGCGAAAGTCCTACTTTCTTGTCTGTGCCTTCTTATGAGCATGTATACACACACAGCCACATAGTCGCACACACCTCATGTACCTATAGCTTTAGATAAAGCCCTTCAATTTAGAAAGTAGGACTACAAGCCTAGATGGACACATATGTGTGTCAGAACACATATGTACTTCTGCCTAAGCATGATGCACACAGATTTGTGTGTGTATATATATATACACCACATGTGGAGGCATGCATGCATGCATGCATGCATAATATGCGCACATGTCTTTCTTTCATGTTTTGGCAACTTGTATTATGCGCCTTCGAAAGAGAAAAGCCTGACCTTTTTGCTAAACCCTAAACCCTGAACCCTGAAACCCTAAACCCCTAAAACCCTAAACCCTGAAACCCTAATCTCCTAAACTCCTAGACCCTGAACCCTGAACCTTGAACCCCTAAACTCCTAAACCCCAAACTCCTAAACCCTAAACCCTAAACTCCCAAACTCCTAAGCCTTGAGGCTCCTAGTCCCTGTTTAGTCCCTAGGGCCCTGAACCCCTAAACTCCCAAACTCCTAAACTCCTAAACCCCAAACACTGAATCCTGAAACATTGAACCCTGAAACCCTAAACTCCTAAGCCCTGGAGGCTCCCGGCTTGATCGGCTTAATGTCACGCTCGGGGCCTGGACTCGAAGCTTCGAGGGCTTTAGAGGGAACCAGGGGGTCGCGATCATAGGGTGCCTTTAAAAGGGAACCCTAGGGTTCTCTATATAATAGTGTCTGGTTCTCTATATAATAGTGTCCCCTTAAAGGGAACCTTGGGGTTGCGATCATAGGGTGCCTTTAAGAGGGAACCCTAGGGTTCTCTATAGAATAGGGTGCCCTTCAATTGAACACTACGGTTGTAGATAATCGGGTTCCCTTTCAGGGTTCTTTAAAGGAACCCTCCTTCGGTTTTTTTTTTTTTGAAGGCTTGAATGGCTCTAAGGGCGCTTTGAGCACTTTATGACCCTTGGGGCTTGACGACTTCCAGGCGAGGATCCGCCTTATTTGGGGGGTGTTTCTGACTTGATTTTGAGCGATTTCTGGTTGATGGCTTCAGGCTTCTGAGGCTTTGGGGCTTCAGATGAAGGCCCTGAAAGTTTGTGGTGTTCGAGGAGTTCGGGCTGAAGGATTTCAGACTCACATTGGTGGTTCGGGATAAGCACTGTAGGATTTTGGCATCAGTTGCATTGGGTATTAGGATGTTGTCGGTCTTTTGCGAGGTGGAAAGGCTTCCGTTGGGCTACTCCCTTGGGCTGTCGGGCTGACGACTTCAGGTTCTGAGGACTTTCTAGGTCTGGGTAAGGACACTTTTGCAGCGCTTTTCAATCACGCGCGATGTAACTTGTCTGTCGGTCCAAATAAGATTGGTCCCACGAACCCTAGTGCCAGTAGGGTTGACGACATGGGCTAAACCCCTAAGCCCCAAACCTATGAACCTTAGTGTCCCTTGTGCAAACCCACCGAGAGCCCAGACGTTTTGGAGTCCAGTCCTGGTCCAGACCTCAGCTGTATAAGAGCATGCAAGGACCGTAAAGGAACATTATTGCTACTGTTGCAGATCATGATGATGATTGTTTTAGAGGCTATGAGCGGGACTAGTATTTTTGAATGTTCATGATTGTGGCTATATTAGCGGCTAAGGGGAAATCATGAGTAGTACGCAAAGGGGAAATCATGAGTAGTACGCATATGATTGTGCGAGGTAGGGGGAATTCTACCTATCACAGCCAATAGTGGGTTGCTCTATGAAAAAACAAACTTGGGTTGGACTTTGTATATCCCTAAACTTGAACCCTGAGCCCTTTTTTTTTTGACACTGGGCTTGCGGGCTGCCAGAATATATGAACCCTAAGCCCTAGCCCCTAAACCATTTAGGGCCAGGGGCTTTGAGCTCTGGGCTCAAAGGGTTAAAGATGTTTGAGGGCTTGGGGCTTGAAGGGACTATGAGTTTCACGTTGCGGGGTTTCGGTGGGGGCTCCTTGAAGGGTTTGAGGGTTTTGTAGGCTTCAAGGATTTGAGGCTTGCATGCTGTGTGCTTAGGGTGAGTCCTGGGTTTCGAGCTTTAGCCAGAGATTCGGGCCTTCGGACCAGCGAACCCAGTGCACCCAGAATTGCGGAGTAGTTGTATGTATGCCGTTCGGGAGAATGTTCAAGTTGCGCCACGCATTATGGAATAACCTCCTTCGCGGGCGAATTGGACCCATTTTAAGTACACGTTGCCTTTTCCGTGGCGTTTCGCGTTCTGTGCAAGCCAATTTTGAACGGAGCTTTGGTGCTCGAGACTGAAGGAGTTCAGGGTCGTGGGAAGTGGCGCAGGGCTGCACGAGGATTTTCTGACGCAAAGACCCCGAAGCATCAACAAACCCATAGCCCGAAACCCTGTCCTGAAACTTACCTTTCACGACTTAAAACCTCCTGTTTTTTGCAAGGTCCCTGCAAATTCTATATTTGGGGTTGATAGTAGGACCTAAATCAACCCAGTGGATTGAGGTAGTGCATCCAGGAGCAATCGTGGCCAGCTTCGACCTCACCCGCCACGACATCCACCAGCTGCATGCAGCGACGCACAACCTCAGGCACAAACGGCTTAGGGTTTTGGCTGCAGCTCTGGGGTCTGGGGTATAAGTCAGGGTATTGGATAGAATTTAGGGTTTGAGTATTGGCTATGCTTTGGGGTTTAGGGTCAATTTAGGTTTGAGGTAAGCAGGCGCCAGGCGTCCATGATCACACACCTGTGTGAGACTCTTCTCCCTGGTGCTTAGCATGGAATGGGGGCATGGACTATGGAGACTATAGGCTGCAGCTGAAATAGAACCTACAGCTCGAGACGGGAGAAGCTTTCATTCTTTGACATTCACACTCGGACTAGCCTTGATGAGGGTTTAGGGCTTACTACAACAGCAACAGTACTAAACATCAACAAATGGTAGGACTGATGAAGCCAAGAATGGTCGCTGCCCATGATTGCTAACTGCGTTGGTTATGGATGCCCCTAAAGATCTGCAGCTTCATGGTTTGTGGGGGCTGCACAGGGCGGGAGCAGACCTTGACATGGGAAAGGCAACCTGCTGCTCAACGCACTGCCGTGAACGTTGGTACAGGGGTGGAGGTGATGGCCACAAGGATTGCAAGACAGCTGCAACTTCAGCTGCGTGGACAACCACGAAGGCAGACTATCACCACCACTTCAACTGTGATTGCCAAGTTGTGCGACCAGGAATGGGTCGACGACAGACTAAGCGCCAGACAGCTTGTGCAAAGTCCTCAGTCGCAGGTTGCAAAAAGACGCAGACCTTCAAACAACCCGTCCCTCAACGGCAAGTCCACAAGTCCAAGATGAAATAGCTACACACTTTGGAAAAAAAACGATCCCAGAGCAAAGAAACGAACCCAACGCCGAAAACTACGCAGCCTCGGCAGCTACATCGGCCCACCATCGACCTCTGAACCCTTGAGCCACATGGCATACCCTTACGCAACCCGAAGCCCTCAAGCCAAACCCGTGACCCAGAGCTTTTCCAAGAGAACATACAAAGAAGACACAGACAGAGCTGTTTGTCGGCTCCGGGTGGACCGTGAAACCTTCACCCAGGGCCTAGCACAAGCGAAGTCTTCCTGTAGGTTAGGGTCTTCATGATGTGTTTAGGAACGAGCTGTATTTGAGATGAAACCTGAGTGTGCTGCAAGACAAGCTTTTCTACCCCGAACTTTCAGAAAGACTTCTCGGAAGCCAGGATCAACAAGCACCCGCTCGTTCGGAAGACCGCCCCAGGAACTTCGCAAAGCAAGATCCCCCGCCCACCCTCAACCCTAAACCCTAAACTCGAAACCGAATTCCCCCTTCTCGACCCGAACTTCTGAAACCCAGTGCCACCCTAGGGCCCTAGAAGCACGGGACACTCCCGGGCACTAAACTCCGAAGGCATCATGCCCTATGGTAAACCCCATAGAATTGGAAACCGGATTAAGGCCAAACAGTGCTGGGATTCCCTATGCATTACTCTTAAAGACTGAGGCTGCGGGGTTTCCAACTTTTGGGCTTCTACTGTAATTACCACGGAAAGAAAACCCAAAAACAAGAAGCTAAGATTCCCAACATCCTAAAACCCACATATGGGAGTTTCCGAAGATGAGGGACCCTCATATAGTACACTAATTAGTAAGAATAGTGGGTTCCGTATTATGAGGACCCCAAACTGAGGTACCCCCCAATTATTGTCGGAAACTCCCATATAGAGGCCCGAATACTTAGACTGGAAACTTGACTCACCTGTTGGGTTCCTGATTAAGTTTGACGGCTTAATTCATATAGTGAGGATTGTGTTATTGAGCCAGATCATGGAGAAACATGGTAAGTAATTCTTACTCAGTAAGGCCCCTTTGTTACGTTTTTTGGGTGTGGCTCCCGCATGGCAAGCACCCAGGCAAACTTATCCGTGGGGTTTCTGCCTTGAGTCGAGGGTTTAAGCCTTTAATCGTCGGTGCACTTAAAGAATGCATTGCAATTCAAAGATATCGGAATTATACGGGCATGTGATTTCCTCTTAGATTCGGTTAGGTTATTTCCTAACTATTATCTTATTTGGGGTTTGTAGGTTATCTTTTGACTATTATCCTATTTTGAATAACCTTGAAAATCGTTTATTTAGAAAATAGGATATAGTCTATTTGATTAAATAACCTAGCAAATTCGAGTCTATTTACCAAAATAACCGAAGGTTATTTGTCAGATGGCATTGAAATTTTGTTGCCGAAAACTTGAAAACCTTGGGAAAAGCAGGAGCAGGCCAAACTTGTTTTTCCAAACGAGCACATGTTACTTAGAGAATGTTACCTAGGGATCATGTTCCACATGCTACTTAGACAGCTTTTTTCCTTGGTCGTCAGACCAGAACATGTTACTTATAGAGCACACATGTTACTTAAAGAATGTTACGTAGCGATCATGTTTCATGGTGCTGGGACAGCTGCTTGCCTTCTTGCCTGAACTGAACTGGCGGCGGCAGCAGAAGATTTTTTTCACACTCGGTCTCTGCTCAGTCTCAGGTGCGCCCCGAGCTTCTCAGTCTGCAGAGACTTTGCTCAGCCTAAGGTTCCAGGCCGCCCTGAGCTTGCTCACCATTTTCACCGTCACCGCCGGTCCTCTGAGTCCTCGGGCACAGCTGGCGGCCAAACTCCTGCTGACCTTTTGAAGGTCCTCGCCTTTGTAGCACCAAGTGAGTCTCGGGTTGATGTGGCGGCAAAGCAAAACCGTGTGCAAAAGCAGATGCAGCTTGGGTAAAGGGCTGAAAAGCTTGAGGCCTTCGGCCTCGAAGTGTGCCCCCAACTCCATATGAAGATTGCACATAGCGAAGGCATATTCGATGAAGTTGGTCGCCTGGGGCTCCGGGAAAGCAGTCTCGGCTCGGCACTCCTTCATGATCTTCTCCATGGCGATGTTCAGTTGCAAGTACGTCCTGATCTTGCAGTGCACAGCAAGATCAGGATGCATGTGCTCCTCCCAAAGTTCCAACAGGGGCTCGCCAAAAAAAACAATCTGGCCCGCCCTGCCTTTCAGCTTGGGGCATTTTTTTTTTCCTCTGGAACATTGTGAGCTTGCGGAAGCCTCTATACCTCTCGGAGATTCCCAGTCTCTTGTACGAGGTAACGATTTTGTCCCAGCATTGTCCCAGATTTGTTAGTGGTGAGTCTGCCATGAGGTGGCTCACCAACAAATCAAGGACCGACCCGAAGCTGATCTGATCTGCCCCCAAGTACTTGCAGTGCATGTAATCGTAGTGCACGTTCAATGGGGTGAGACCAGTGGCATTGGAGAAAATGGTGCTCGATGATCGCTCCGGGTATGCCAACCATGATTCCCTTGTCCATCCCAACGTGAGCCACCGAGCACTTGTTCGGCAACCATGCCAGCTCGAATCGGAATTGTCGCCTCTGCACTTGCAAAGGGCACACGGGGATGCTTTCGATCCGTAATGCGGCAACTGCAGCTTTTGCACCAAATATTCGGCATCGCCATTCAAACTCCAGATGATGCCTCGCAGTCCATTCGCCAGCGGCGTCCCGGCTCGACGGGCTTCCACGGTACCGGCGGGATACCTCGAAGTTTTTTCTCTGGGACTTTAGGACTGCCTGGCGACAATCGTTGCTGGTTGTTTGTCTTTAAAAGAATAGGAGTGACCTCCGAAAAGAAAAGTCAATGAAACTATGTAAGGGCCCTATTTTGCTGGCACATGTTCTGGGGTAGTAGGGTCTGCAACTTGGGAATGGAACCAAAATTGATTCCACGAATTCTATCTGCAAACAGGGTTTATCACAGAGCTTCACCCCTCAATCCTTGAAGACTTAGGAAACACGTTATAATGTGTATAGACAGAAACCAAAACGGACAGCAAAAGCTTGAATGAGTGGACTTGCACAGTTGCTTTGCACCCAAGTGGTTGGCTGCTGGCCAGACTCCACTGGCAAGGCAGGCAAACGACCAACAGATGATTCGGAAAAATTCATCTGTCGTTTCTTTTCCAGCCTCGGTCTCATCGAAGCAAAACCACGATGGCATCATACTGTCCTTTGTCCACCCCTCTGCCAGAAGGCTGTTCCACGTGTACGAGGTCAGCTGCCTGCTCCAGATTTTCCCTATCCCCACCACAGGGGTGCCGTCCCCGTGTAGCTGTAAAGGCAGGGTATGCTCGGCATCGAAGGACTTCTTGCTGACGATCGGGTGGTTTCGCCAAGCGGGATGACCCGCCTTCTGAAGGCGCCAGAATTCTTTAAGTTTCTGAATACCTCCAGAAGGCATCATGAACTTTGCAAAGGCGGCTGGGTAAGAGTGGTAAAGATCAGAAAATACCACATGTGGAAGAAGCATCGTCTGAAGCAGTTTGTCCCAGGGTGGCTTGAAGCTCCTGGCTGGATCATAGGGAAACCCTGGCAGGAATTATAATTTGGATTTCTTTCTCAGGGCTTAGAGATACTATACCCAGCAAACTACAAAAACAAAAGGTTCTAAGTATCCCTGAGGTTCATTTTGACAGCGAAGGGCTTCGAAAAAGCATTGTTCTTGTTGGCGATTTTCAGAATCTCCTTGTGCATATTATTCGGATACAGACCAGCAGATCCCAAGCCAGCTAAAGCAGCGACTTCGCTGGGCGGTGTCGCTCCGACAGCTTGAAAGTCCCTTTGGGAGGCAGCTGCCAGCTTTTGGACCACCTGAGGGCTCACTTCGCCCCACGACCATCGCTCCAACAGCTCATGTGCCAGATTGCTCGCAACAGGAGCTGCATCATTTCTGGCTTCAACTTTTTGGATCCTCTGCTGCACTCCACCTCGCCTCAACCGCTTTGGAGGGGGCTCTTCTGCCATTCCGGCACCGCACAGATTCTACCGAGGCTTCCTGTGGCTTAGAAATATATAATGGCATGTTGTTTTCACGGCCTGCCCTAGGTAACATGTGCTCTAGGTAGCATGTGGTATCAAGGAAATCTAGGTAACATGTGCTTTAGGTAACATCTGGCATCGAAGAAATCTAGGTAACATATGCTTTAGGTAACATGTGACATCGAAGAAATCTAGGCAACATGCGGTATGGCATCAATCAAAATTAGGTAGCATGTGCTCTAAGTAGCTGTATGGCACCAGAATCCAAACACTAGATCTTTCCTGTGACATGTGTTGCATAATAGATCAACTTTAAGTAACATGTGTCAGCACATATTTAATCATGTGTGCCATCTAAGTAACATTGGGACAGCAGTGTTCTATTCTCTTGCCACAAGCGAAGCTGCGACGACGGCATACAAAAAGGTTTTGTGATTATCGACATCAACACACAACTCGATGGGTCATTTTCTGAGGCACCGCACAGAATTATGTGTTGGGCTTCAGCGGGCTTAGACTGGGACTTTGATGCGGGGGGCATACTAAAAGGTTGTGTGACTAGGACCACCGAGCAAACCTCAACCGAATGTATGCACACAATGTTACTTAGAATTCTGAGTTGACCTTCAGCTGGGTTTGAGTGGGACTCTGATGCCGGGGGCATACTAAAAGGTTTTGTGAGTAGCAACACCAAGCAAACCTCAACAACAAGTTTTATGCATGCACAGCATGTTACTTAGATTATGTGTTGGGCTTCAGCGGGGTTTGACTGGGACTTTGATGCCGGGGGCATACACAGAGGTTTTCACTTTAGGAATACGAAGCATACCTCAACAACAATTTTTATGCATGCTCACAATGTTACTTAGAATTATGTGTTGGGCTTCAGCGGGGTTTGACTGGGACTTTGATGCCGGGGGCATACACAGAGGTTTTCACTTTAGGAACACGAAGCATACCTCAACAACAATTTTTATGCATGCTCACAATGTTACTTAGAATTATGTGTTGGGCTTCAGCAAATTTTGACTGGGACTTTGATGCCGGGGGCATACACACAGGTTTTGACTCTACGAGCACGAAGCATACCTCAACAACAATTTTTATGCATGCACACACAATGTTACTTAGAATAAAGTGTTGGGCTTCAGCAAATGTTGATTGGGACTTTCATGCCGGGGGCATACACAGAGGTTTTGACTCTAAGAGCACGAAGCATACCTCAACAACAATTTTTATGCATGCTCACAACAATTTTTGAACATGCATACACAGAGGTTGGCATGCTCACAATGTTACTTAGAATGTGTTGGGCTTCAGCAAATTTTGACTGGGACTTTGATGCCGGGGGCATACACACAGGTTTTGACTCTACGAGCACGAAGCATACCTCAACAACAATTTTTATGCATGCACACACAATGTTACTTAGAATAAAGTGTTGGGCTTCAGCAAATGTTGATTGGGACTTTGATGCCGGGGGCATACACAGAGGTTTTGACTCTAAGAGCACGAAGCATACCTCAACAACAATTTTTATGCATGCAGACACAATGTTACTTAGAATCAAGTGTTGGGCTCCAGCGGGGTTTCGCTGGGACTGTCAGGCCGGGGGGGCATAGACAGAGGTTTTGACTCTAGGAACACAAATAAAACCTCAACCACATTTTTTATGTATGCACACTGAAACCCTGAGCGCTCAGAAACCCCAACCAACATAACACTGCTGAGCAGCAACCCAGCAGCATACATTGTTTTCGGATCTTGCTGCCAATGGTGCAACCAGGTGAAGCGGCACATGTTTCACAGAGCCCACAAAACTTGGACCCCCCGCAACACGATGTTCTCGGAAATTCGGACTCCAGTTTGTGCTGTTCATATGACAAGAGGGCCTGTGGGCGAGAACATCAGCTGCAAATAACAAGCCTCGTGCTATGCCACTATGAAACGTTGCACACACCACACCCCCGGAACTCGAGGCTTCTATACCCCAGGCTGCCCGGCAGCTTCTGAGGATGCTAAGAAAACTATCGCAGCACAGCTCCAATGCCAGGGCCACAGAGCAAACCCTTCGATCCCAAAATGGTATCATAAACTGTCATAAACCATACCCCTCTAGAACATCCAGAAACGGGCACCCCGAACCTCCAATGTGAAACCCTCTATGTTATTAACATCTTAGTGAACCCGAAAACCGTGGCATCTATAGCAAAGGATTTGCTGCAACAGAAGCAAAACTACAGACATGGCTACGTGTCTCGCCGACAACATGTCTTCATGGCCAGGGTGCCAATGCTGAACAACAACATTGTTACTTAGTTGCTAGAAAACAATTGATAACCGGAATGAAACCTAGTACCGAGTATGTTACTTAGCACGTTTCTCTTCATATCAAAATGCACATGATGAGCAAGACTCGGGATGGAATCACAGCTCCTTCCTTGCTTTCAAAAGGGCTTTGAATTTCTCGCACTCCTCGTTCAAGGAAACCGCCGTTTCGGAATGCTCACACATGTAGTCCTTGAAGGTTGCAGCGGTGAGGGGCCGCTCTGAGTCTGGGAACTCTTTCCATAGCAACAGGTGGTCGTCCCTGTCCATCCATGATTTCATAGCAAGCATGTGCGGCTTGAAGCTCTCCTTGTCCTTCGCTTGCGAGCATTTTGAAATCATCCTCATAGCAGCACTATGAAGCCGCTCCATCGCTCCTTTGGCCTCCTCCAGCAAAGCTTGCTGGGACTCCGTGAACTGCTTGAGGACGGGGGGCTCCTTCGAGCTTGCTGCCTCTGCTGCGATAGCCTGGCGGGGCTGGTCATCTTGATCAAACGAAAAGGTCATGGCTCGGAAGGCCTTGTCGAGGGCCTGAAAGGTCTCGTCGGTGATCTCCTTGGCACCACTCTTCGCTTGGTGCTTGTCCTCCACCGTCTTGCCAATCCCGGCAACGGTTTGCCGATAGCCCGCGAACTCTACCCCATCCTGCAGCCACACCATCACCGTGCCCCTTGCAATGGAAGCATCCAAAGCCTTTTCATCGCCATGGTAGTCCCGGTGCAAAACCACATCCTTTGGTGCCCCCATGGTTTCATCTCGACCAAACTTCTGATGCTTGGCCTGCTTCGTGGTCTCGAACACGGGCTTGTCCGATTTCATGATCAGCTTGCCTTTGTCGTTCTTGTCGAACAGCTCGTTGATCAGCTCCGTCTTGGCAGCACGGGTCTTCGCTTTGCTCAGAACCTCCTGAATGTGTTCCGGGATTGCACCGGCATCGGACATTCTCTTGAATTTCCTGGCCTTGGCGAGGTCCCTCTTTTCGCCGCCCTGGTCGTCCTCCTCGTCGCCGTCCTGCTCCTCTGCCTCGGGCTCCTCCTTAGGCTTCTCCTGGGCCTCGGCTTTGTCCTCGGCTGCAAGCTTCCACTGCAAAGCCTTGTCAGCGAAGCTTTCCTGTCTGGTCACGTTCTTGTTGTTGTTGTCCCCCTCCTTGAGCTGCTTCCCCGGCTTAGTTTTCTTGGCCTTCGGCTGGGGGGTAGATTTGGCTGTGCTCTTGGCCTTGGGTGTTTTTGCTGGGGGCTTGCTCTCGGCTTTTGCTTTTGCTTTGGCCTTTGCCTTCGCCTTTGCTTTGGGGGAGGTCTGCGGCTTGCTCGGCTTGCTCTTGCTCTTGGGCTTGGCTGGGCTCTTTGGCTTGGGGCTCTTCTGCTCCTCCTTCTCCTGTGCCTCCTGCTCCTGTTCTGGGGCGGCCTCTGCTTCCGTCAACGGTTCGCCGTCGAGGTCAAGCTGAGCTGCCTTTCTCTTCAGGGAACCACTACCCTTAACAGCCATGGCTGGATCAGTCTTCTCGGAAAGTCTTCTTCTCATCATGCATGAAAATCTGGTGTTTTAGCATGTCACGACATGTGCCCGGGACTTCATACTCCCAATCACCACTAGCCTTTTTGAATTCGAGCACGGATCGGGGTGCAGATTTGTCAACGACCACAACGGGTGGAACTAGACAACAGCAGTACATGTTACATACACAGCTCTCTAAGTAACATGTTACCTAGGTTTGCCTGCACACTGTTACTTAAGACTAAGTTTCCTCGTGCACTGTTACTTAGAAACATTAGAGACCATGTTGCCTCTTGTCGGGCCAGCAGCAAGCTGCCTATGTTGACAGGAGCATGTTACCTAGTTTTGTATTCAGCACCAAAGCTCGAAAGCCGAAGCAAGATTTCACCTAGTTATGGTTTGAGCACGATATTCCAAATTATTGGAAAACTCTGATGCACAGTTCTCTTTTCCAGGCGAAAGTCCTCGGATCGGTTTCGAAACACCAGAAATCACAGGCCGGAAACCAGACGAATCAAGGGCAGCAGGAAGAAAACAGCACAGAAAAAGCTCCAGGGATAGCAAACTCACACAAAAGTGACACAAAACTGACACAAAAGTGACACAAAAGTGACACAAAAGTGACACTAAAGTGACACTAAAGTAACACTCCCACAGCAAAAGTAACACTAAAGTAACAATTCCATGGGTTAGTTTTACCAAACTAACAATAGTACATATCGGTTGTGTTAGTTTTGTGTTAGTTTTGCCTTTGAACTGTTAGCTTAGTGTCAGTTTAGTGTCAGTTTTGTGTCACTTTAGTGTCAGTTTAGTGTCACTTTTGTGTCACTTTTGTGTCGGTTTGGTGTTTTGGGGATGTGATGTCGTCGGTTTTCGTCTGGCACAGGTGAGTCCAACGGCTTGACTCTGCCGTTGGACTCGTCTCATTCACGTGAAACCCAGGGGAGGTGGTACCCGACGACTCCCGACGACTCCCTGTAATGGTGTTATTTTGTTTAATTTTTGTGCTGGTTCGGCTCGTGTTGGGCTTGGGTTTTCCTGCTTTGGTCTGTGCCTGCCGGCGGTTTTCATGCTTTCTGCAAAACGAGAAAACTCCTATCTCGATGGAATGAGTACATCACTTCTTGTTCTGTTTTAGTGCAACAGAGGGATGTTACGTAACCGTTCGGGGGGCTTGGTGTCACTGTTCCTAAGTGGGGGCGGAGTGGGGGGTTTGTGTCAATGTTACTTAGCAGCTCGTGGCCCTAGGGGGGAGGGGGCTTCTGTCAATGATACTTAGCAGCTCGCGGCGCTTTTTTTTGGGGGGGGCGGGGGTGGGGTGGCATATGTGAATGTTACTTAGCAGCTCCTGACCCTACCCGACAATGTCTTTCAATGTTACTTAGCAGCTCGTGACCCTATCTGACAATGTTACTTAGCATCTACTGCAGTGTGCTTATGATTGTAGTCCAGGGTGCAGAGTGCGGTTGCTGGCTTAGGTTTTGGGGGATGGGTTTCAGGGTTTCGCTTTTAAGGCAAGCAGAGCCTGAACACATGTGTCTTCGAATGCGACTGTGAAAGTGGCTTCGTAAGTTAAACAAACAGAAATATTCCAGAAGCCCAACAGAAACATGTTACGTAGCCGCTTCTGCTGGGGGACTTGGTGTCCATGTTACTTAGCGGCTCTTGCCTTTAGCTGGGGCTTTGTGTCCTCGATACTTAGCAGGTCCGAAAAGAAACATGTTACGTAGCCGCTTGGGGGGGGGTCTATTGCTGTCCATGTTACTTAGCAGCTCCTGGGCCTGGAGTGGTTCCTGTTCATGCTACTTCGGCACTGGCGACCCTCAAAGAGACAATGTTACTTACGATGTAGGACACACACGGTTTACGCATATTCTGCCCTCTGCTTAGTTTGCAAGCTATATGCATGAACCCACGGAATCATTGTTATTCCCGACTCAAGACTGTGGAAGAAACACTGAAGAACCCACACTCTGCTATCATGTTACCTGGTCCATGTTACTTAGAGACGGAGTCTGGGTTTAGGGTTCAGGGTATTGGGTTCGGTGTTCTCGATTTGGGTTTAGGCTTGAGGCTTCAGGGTTCGGGGTTTAGGGCAAAAGGATTTAGGCTGGAGGCCTTCAGGTTTCAAACCTTTAGAAATTCCCGACTCTGAAAGAACTCGCTGCCGCCTGTTTGCACCGACCGCGATCTCACTGCGGCCGCTTCTCCCCCGGCGGCTGGGGCAAGCTCCTTCGCCGCCGCTTCTCAGAAGGCACCGGCTCCTGAGCTGCGGCATTTTATTGTAGAACCCCGGGGCTGTCTTTATTCTCAAATCAGGCTGGCTTCCTGTTTAAAGCTGGGATGTATTGCTGCCTGGAATCCAGAGTGCTTGGCGGAGATCGCCGGCGAGGATCGCGAGGACGAGTGATCCTCGCAGGCGATTAGTACTTGGTCTTCTAGAGGCCGGGAAATCGTGAGGAGTCCCTCAAATCCAAGAGTGCAAAGAGGTTGCCACAACCCAATACCGGCCTGCTGATGGCCTCCACCTCCACGGACGGAGGCCTTTCCAGATCCTCCTCCTCCTCCTCTTTGGCCGCCCTGGGCCTGGGGCGATATTTCGAAAACTCAGCAATGTTACTTAGAGGGGGCAGCAGGGCCCAGCGACAATGCTACTTAGAATGTTACTTAGAAACTGAGCAATGTTACTTAGAGGGGGCAGCAGCTCCTAGCGACAATGCTACTTAGAATGTTACTTAGAAACTCGGCAATGTTACTTAGAGGGGGCAGCAGGGCCCAGCGACAATGCTACTTAGAATGTTACTTAGAAACGGAGCAATGTTACTTAGAGGGGGCAGCAGGGCACAGCGAGAATGCTACTTAGAATGTGACTTATAGAAACTCAGCAATGTTACTTAGACTAAGAGGGGGCAACAGGTCTTAGTGACAATGCTACTTGGAATGTTGCTTAGAATCTCAGCAATGTTACTTAGACGGGGCAACAGGGCCTAGCGACAATGCTACTTAGAATGTTTCTTGGAAACAGAAACACGGCCTGAGGCTAGGAACCAATGTGACTTAGAATGTTAGTTAGGCAGCTCTATGTGAGGAGCGACATCAATGTTACTTAGCATCCTCGAGGAAGCAGCAAAACCGTAATTCCTGCCATGTGGCTGTGGAGCCGCAGCTGACGAAGATGCCTCCTCCACCTCCTCCAGCCGTGCAGGCGAAACGGGCGAGCTGTGCCTTGGATGCGGGTGTTTTAAGGTTTAAAGTCTCTTCCTCACCAACATCCTCATAAGTACACCAGAACAAAAAAAGATACTTCTTTCTGTCTTGTGTCTCCGGGATGATGGTCTTGTTGTCATCCTCCTCCTCTGTCGTGTCCCCAGCAACAGTTGGCGAAGCCGGCGGCCGAACTGCCTCGCCCACCAGGTTCTGCAGCAGTGCATTCGCCACGTTTTGCACCAGTGGGCTCGCCAGGCCCCCCATCACTGGGCCCGCCAGGCCCTCCATCACCCTGTGGAAGAAAAGGCCTCTGCATCATTGAACTCGCCAGGCCTCCATCATTGGGCTGGCCAGGCCCTGTCCAAGAAAAGGCCTCTGCATCACTGGGCTCGCCAGGCCCATCATTGGGCTGGCCAGGCCCTGTCCCAGAAAAGGCCTCTGCATCACTGGGCTCGCCAGGCCCATCATTGGGCTGGCCAGGCCCTGTCCCAGAAAAGGCCTCTGCATCACTGGAAGGCTGGCCAGGCCCTGTCCCAGAAAAGGCCTCTCCATCATTGGGCTGGCCAGGCCCTGTCCCAGAAAAGGCCTCTCCATCATTGGGCTCGCCAGGCCCTGTCCCACAAAAGGCCTCGGCAGCCCTTGCACCAGTGGGATCGCCTCTCGCCACGGTGGCTTTGCCTTAGGTGTCAGTCCTGCAGGCTCCTGCTGCTGCAAGCTCCTGGTACTGCTGCGGTTGCTGTGCAGGCACCTGGTGCTGCTGCGGCTGCTCTGCTGTTGCAGGCTGCCGCTGCTCTGCAGCTGCAGGCTGCCGCTGCTGCTGCGGTTGCTGTGCTGCTGCTGCCAGCTGCTGTGCTGCTGCTGCTTTGGGTTGTGGCCGCGCGACACTCTGTGTCCCTTGTAGCTAAGGGGGACCAGCTCCAAAGCTGTGTCCCGTGCTGCCGTGGTGTTGTAGTGTAGTACCACGGCAGACAGGGTAGCTTCAGCAGCACGTGTCGGCAGCCACTGTACGTTTTGCGGACGAGGAGCCCCAGCCTTGTCTAGCCATTCTAGCAGGCCGGCGGTTGTTGTCCACCATGGCAGCCCGCCCAGCCACAAGCCAGTAGTGCTCATGGCTTTGTTTCTTGTGTTGTCTTGTCTGTGCTGTCTGTGCTGTGTTTGCTCTGTGCTGTGCTTGCTGTGTGCTGTGTGCTCTGTGCTGTGTGCTGTGTGTGTGCACGTGTGTGTTGTGGCTGTCGCACTCTGCTGCATGCTGCATGTCCAGACTGGCATGTTACCTAGTTGCAAGGCGAGCAATGTTACTTAGAGGGGCAAGACATGTAGTCGGCCAATGTTACTTAGAGGGGGTGAAGGACTGCGACATTGCCAAAATCTTACCTAGAGGGGGAAGAGGCATGTTACCTAGTCTTGCTTTGGCTCTTGGTTTGATGGCGTCAAGGACTGTGGGATTGCCAATGTTACCTAGAGGGGGAAAAGGCATGTTACATAGTCTCTCGTTTCACGGTGAAAAACATGTTACCTTGTTTCCGGTGCTTTTGAAAAACCAAAACACATTCTACCGGTACCTATAACGTCTCAGGCCCTTGTTCTTTCCCCATGCTTTGCCAAGGTTTCTTTTCAGTAGAAAACATCAGTCACTTCTGGGGTTTGGGGTCGCTGGTGAAAACCAAAACACATTCTATCGGTATTTAACGTCTCAGGCCCTAGTTTGTTTGTCCTAAGTTTGGCGGAAGTTTTTTTTTGGAGTAGAAAACATCAATCACTTCTGGGGTTTGGGGTCTTCTTGG